GGAATGAATGATCCAGACACTTTGTAGACTTCTCCTAACGTGGATAAGTTAGCTTGAGAGCAGCCTGGCAGATAAAGGTCTGAATCACAGGTGAAATGGGGTGGCCCTGCACAGAAAGAAACCTCCTTTTGGGCTATACCAACAGAGGAGCTTTGTGTGAGCTACATGGGACAGTTTCTTCTGACAGCTACAGAGGTCACAGCTGAAGAATGACATCCAATTTCAGCACCACATATTAGAAAAGACAAAGATAAAATGGAGGAAGTTGAGGAGATAAAAACAGGACAATGAGAAGCTTGGAAACATTATCAGTGAGAGGAGATGGAGAAACTTGCATTTGTTTAGTCTAGAAGAGAGATGACAGGGGGTTACAACTTGCTGTTTCCCCACATGTAACAAGTGTTGTAAAGAAGATGTGAGGAACCGATTTCCACTGCCAAAAAGAGAACCACAAGAAGATTTCAGCTTCAAAGATTTAGTGTGGAAATTAAGAAAGCATTTCACAATGGCAGGCAACTGGGGAGGTCCTTTGGAAACCCCTCCATCAGAAACCACTCAGAAGAATAAAAACCATCAAAGGTCAGGCACTGACAGGGGAATCTGCTTTTGCTTCTTGTTCACATGGAGCATTACCTTCCTATGGGTCTTGTTCAGCAGTCCCTCATCTAGAGAGCCATCTTGCTGCAAGAACAACTTTGCTAGAAATCACAATCCCTGCATCCATCCTCCAAATCCTATCTCTGGTCAAAATAAAATGCTCGTGAAACGGACTCTGTAAGTTCCTCGATTGCCTCTAGCCAATTTTAAGGTAGATAAAGGTAGAGGAAACTTCTCCCAGACAGATTTCAGGACATTGCTGGCAGCTCAACTAAGTTGTTCTGAAATCCTGTCACACATGTGGCTGGCAGGTTGTTTGGTGCTGGGACTATAGAGACAGGACAAGGGGGAATGGGTTTAAACTTAAACAGGAGAGATTTAGGTTAGATCTAAGGAAGTTCTTCCCTGTGAGGGTGCTGAGGCGCTGGCACAGGGTGCCCAGAGAAGCTGTGGCTGCCCCATCCCTGGCAGTGTTCAAGGCCACGTTGGACACAGGGGCTTGGAGCAACCTGCTCTAGTGGAAGGTGTCCCTGCTCATGGCAGGGGTTTGGAACTGGATGAGCTTTAATGTCCCTTCCAACAGAAACCATTCCATGATTCTGTGACTCTTGCTCTCCTTCCCCTTTACAATAATTTTCCTTTGGTACCTAGGTCTCTGATAACCCACTGACACTGTGTATTCCCTAAAAGAGAAACAGAACACACTTACCAATGCAAGCCTGCTTTGTGGGGGTGCTCTGGAAGCCCTCGTGGCACTTGCAGTGGTAGGAGCCTGGTGTGTTCACGCAGTCACCATGCACGCAGGGGCTGCTGGAGCACTCATCCACATCTGAAAGAAGAAAAGCCTGAACCCATGAGTCACCATGATACACAGCAAGCTACAAGGAGAGGCAACAAAGGCTGCCTTGAGCGGCTGATCCTGTCCTTTCAACCCCAGCACTCAGCATCCTGACATCACAGCCAGTAAGGTCCCTCTGGATGAATCCCTTCCCTCAAGTGAACCAACTGCAACACTCAGCTTGGTGTCATCTGCAAACTTGTTGAGGGTGTCCTCAGTACCAATGTCTATGGCATTGATGAAGACATTAAAGAGTATTGGTCCCAGCACAGGCCCTTGAGGGACACCAACTGTTACTGGTTTCCACTTGGACTTTGAGCCATTGTCTGTAACTCTCTGGACACAGTCCTCCAGCCAATTCCTTATCCGTCCAACAGTCCATCTGCCAAACCCATGTCACTCCAATTTAGAGGTAAGAAGGTTGTGGGGAACTGTATCAAAGACCTTACAGAAGTCCAAACAGATGACAGCCATAGCTCTTCTCTTTGTTCACTGATGCAGTCACATCAAAGGCCACTAGATAGGCACAATTTGCCCTTGATGAAGCCACTTCAGTTGTCTCTAATCACCTTCTATGAGTTTCAGTGTCTCTTCTGAACAGCTTATAGCCATCAATTGCAGTGCTCCAGTCCTGTGCTTAGTGCCACCACATTTCAGTGCTTTCCAACTGGTGGTTGCCAGCTCCTCCTGTTTGTTACCCATGCTGCATGCATAGAAGCACTCACATGGGCTATCATCAACCCTCCCACCTTTTTAGAGGAACATGCTCTAATTCCTTTCAGGCATTTCCCAGGTGTTTCCCTTTTGGTTCCTAATGCATCAGCAGCTCCTGGCTCTGCTCTGTTACTCAAAACTCCATCTCCTTTTTCCATCTAAACTAAATCTAGTTTAAAGCTCTCCTTACAAATCTGACCACCTTTTTGGAGAAGACCTTCTTGCTCCACATGATGAGGGGAAGCCCATCAGCTCCCAAAAGGCCCAGCTTCTCAAAAGCAGACCCATGATCATAGAAGCTAAAACTTTGGGTATGGCACCGGCATGCAGCCAGGCATTCACCCTGTTTGATTATTCTCCACTTTCCTGAGCCCTTTCCTATGACTGGGAGGATAAAGTAACACCATCTGCACTCGGATTCTTTTAACTTTGCTCTCAGTGCCATACAGTCTCTTGGTGGTTCTAAGTTGCCTTGTTGCAGTATCATCAGACCCTACATGGAATAGTAGGAGCAGATGATAATCTGAGGGTTCAACAGGCTCAGCAGCCTCTCAGTGATGTTGCAAATGTGAGCTCCTGGTTGGCAGCATACTTCTCTAAGGAAATTGGCTGGATGGCAATGGGGTGCGTAAGTACCTCTCAGTAAGGAATCTCCAATTACTAACACTTTATGTATTTTATGTACCTGGATCTCCTCCTCTACTCACATGCTCTTTGTTCTCCAAACCCAGTGTAGTATCTCTTATGTAAAGGCACTTCAGAGGAAGGTTCTTCCTTCTGCCCTGAGCAGAGACAAGGGTCCAGTCTCTTCATCTTGTGAGTTACTTACGTCAGTCAGCTCAAGGCTGAATTCAGGCTTACTTCCCCCTTGCACAGCCTTAAAGTAGGGCTGTCACTTAGCCTGGGACAGCACACACCACCAGGTATCAATCTTTCACATTCCTGGATACTACACTGCCTGTGGCAATGTGGTGGCTACCAGAGGAGTGGTCACCCTTGCAGGGCACACACGTCATTTCTGCCTTGCTGCTTTGAACCTGACATGAGCCCTCTATCTCCAACATCTTGTGTGGGCCTCTGACTGGGGTGGGGGCTGTGGGGCAGCAGCTACTCACCGATGCACTCCCCGCGCACGTCCTGCTTGTACCCCATGTTGCACTCGCAGCGGTAGCTGGATGGGGTGGGGATGCAGCGTCCGTTCAGGCAGAGGTTGGTGAAATGCTTGCAGATGTCAATGGTCTGATTCAAAGTGGCAGTTCCTGGAAAGCACAAGAGACAGCATCAGGTAGAGGATTACAGCTCCCTTGACTGTGCCCAGGAAGCACAAGGGTCCTTAAGTCCAAACCCTGTGACAATGATGCTCCTGAACAACCATGGGGCTGCAGGCATAAACTCAGCTGCCTCATAAGCCTCTGCAGGGTGCTGCAGTACCGGGCATGTCCCTGCCCTGCTGACATGCACAACATGGTTCAGCCTCTTGGAAGTAAGGTGGGAATCAATACTTATTGACATCCAGTGCATCTTCACAGGCTTCAGCCCTTAGCACGGAGCTATACGGGGATGCCCATGAGAGAGGTGCCCAAAGTGGTAGGAAACCCAGTTTTGCATGGGGGAGGCAGAGAGGGAGGTGGTAACGTGAAAGCATTCCTATTTGGTAAGTGGAAAGATACCTGGCACTGGAGCCAGGCTCAGCTCTTGCTCTGCCAGCAGATGTTGTTTGATCTGCCTCTGGGCTCAGCATCCTGCACAGAATTAGTGTCACATCCCATCACTCCCCTTGTGTCAAAATAAACCCTGGAGCTGTCTAAGAGCATGGGCTGTGTGCAGGGCTCAGAGAAGGGGCCAGCACGCAGGAGGACACACTGCCTGTGTCCTGAGATGAGTAGCCAAACTGGGACAGCAGAGTAAGAAAGTCAGTTTAATTACCAATGCTTGAACTTCCTGCGCCCATTCCAGGCAGACCTGGGATCCCGCCTTGTCCATTTGCCCCATTTGGTCCAATGCCTCCAGGCCCATTGAGTCCTGGCCCAACACCATTGGGCCCGAATCCAGGAATTGCTGGGAAGTTCCCAGGGAACCCTGGCACGACTGGGAGTCCTTCAATGCAAAGCCTGCGGTACTCATCTGAAACAAAACAGCTGCCTTAGTGCTTTTCCAAGAGTGCCTGAACCCTCCTCCTGCCTCTGCCAGAGTGCAGAGAACAGAGGGATGGAGGGGACTGGCAGGGAGCAAAGAGGGTGGGTGCTGATGGCAACAGAGCAGATGGGTGAGGAGAGCTTTAACACCCTTCACTCCGGAGCAGATGGTGAGACACAGCTTGCCAGGGTGTTTGGCAACAGCTTCTCGGGGTGCATGGCACCATGGGCTCCCGTCATGCATGAAAGGACAGGACATGGGAAGGTGCCAGACACTGTGAAGCTCTGCCCTGCTCAGAGCTGGTGGTGAAAGAAGAGAAGCAGAGAGATACATCTACAGTGCTGTGCCTCCCCAAGGCCTCCTGCTGCCTGGGCTCACCCTCATTTGGCCCCATGGTTCAATTATGGTGGAAGCCAAAGAGAGCTGAAGGGGTAGGAGGAAAGGGACAACTTCTTGCCTTGGGTGAACTCATCTGGCTCAACTTTCAGATGACACCCAGGCAGGAGAGCCAGCATCCGCATGTGACGCTTCCCGGCATCGTATGGTGATGGTGCTCCACATCAAACCCGGGGCACCACTAGGGCCATCAGAGCCAGGAGTTGGCCAAGCAGTAGGTTCCTTGTGTGCTGCACTTACCAGAGCCCCGGACAGGGCACATCTCTGGAGTCTGAGCAATGGCCCAGCAGCGCCCGGAGTCACAGCAGCACTGCATCTTGGTGTACTGGCCAGGGAGGTCCCCGGCACAGCGGCCCCCGATCAGCGCAGAGAAGCATGTCCCAATCCGCTGGTCTGCAGAGGGAGAGGACAAGGACACACATTCATAACCTGTCATCACCACACTCTTGGTCAGCTCCTGAGCACTCATTCCCAGTGGTGTCTCTTCTGGTTGACCAACGTCCCAATCTGACCTCCCATTGTGCCTCATCCTCCCATATCGTGAAGTTCTCCAGCACCTCCATCTGGAGCACATCAAGGCTGTAGGGCCAGGCCACATTTCCCAGTGTTACATCTCACATTCCCATTTAGGCTTCTAAACACTATAAGCAAGTTGAATAAGAACCAGAAACAGGCAGTAGGTGGGCAATGCCTCTCCATCGGATTCTCTTCTAGGAGCTGCCTTCCTTGCCCTGCAGGAAGGACAAGCTGACCCAGCAGATTCTGGCTGAAGTCACCGAGCAGAAAACAGATGAGATCCCCCACCTCACCCCATGCTTCCTCACCTTCCCAGGGAAATGGGGTTATTGACAGGTGTCTCTCCTCTTGCCAGAGTTTCTGCACTTACAAAACATGCCAGGGATGGGTTCCCCCACTGACCCAACACTCCAGCTGACACAGGGAACAGGCTGAGGGGAGGTGGTCTGCAGGAGACCACTGCAAACACTGACACTACTGGGCAGCCTGACCTATCCCTTCGATGGGGACAGATAAACTGCTCTGGACTAAATTACATTATTCAACAAAATTGCATCCTAGGGCTGAGATGTCCATTCTTCAGGTTCCTCCTCTGATGTTAGCATCTATCTTGCTTAGTTATATTTGTGAGCAAGGGCTGGCCATCAATGCCAATATTAGAATCCAACAGGCCCTGAACTTGGCTACATGGAGGGCAGCTTCTTCTCCTCTCTTGGGCCATTGGACCCAGCATGATATATTTTCCCCCAACTGCTGCTACTAAAAACACTTCCCTGTGAGAAAAACAAGCCAGTGCTGCCTGCTGCTATTTTGAGGGTTCCCAGACGGAGTGGGCATTCCCCAGCATGCCTGCTCCAGGCTGAAGTCTTGGCTGCAACAGTCCTTTCCCTTTTTCTCACTTGGGGCAGGGCAGAGCTGGCAGATGGAGGTGGTCAGAGTTTCCTACACCACTTTGGCCAGGCTGGGGATCCAGGTACAACCCTTCCAGCATTACTGATCCCTGATGCTGTGCTAAGGAAGGATCTTCCCACAGCCACCGCTGTCCAGTGTGGTCCTGCACATCTCAGGCCTGGCAAGGACCTGACTCTCATTCCCACAACCGATTTAATGGCAAATGTCCCAGACTTCCCATGAGGAAGCATTCCCTGCCAGGTACCAGTGGTCCCAGCATCTCTCATTAAACAAATGGACCTGTTCCTAATTCCACATCCCTCCAGCCTACTTACTCCTATTCCCAGTGGATGCCCGTTTCAGGTCATGGGTCAGTTCCCACAGCCTGGATTGAGCTGGGAGGAGAACAAGCCCTGGATGGTGGTCAAAGTCCATGAGCCTGGCCAAAGCCACAGACTCTAAGGCTGGCACCAGTGTTTGGTGTGTGTAGCTTCTGGACAAGGGCCAGGAGACTAAGGGTCTTTTACATGTCTAGCAGGCTCCATCTGGCACCAAGTCCTCTTGGAAAACCTGGAATCTTCCACTCATTCATCTCCTGTCCTTATTTCTCAAGTAAATTAATGAGGGGGAAAGTCTGGTCTGATTTGTCATCTGTGCCTCTCACCTGACGTTATCCAGCAGGCTGACACTTCCCTGAAATACCATTGGGATCAATTGCATGGAGCTGTTTGATCTCTGGGCTGTGATTCCGTTTCTTCTCTCAACACAGCTCAATGACTTCCAGAGGACAGTGACCCCATTTAAAGCCAGGGGGACTAAACCCGCAGGTCTTTCCTCACACAGATCCTTTCCTGGGTTTCATGGGTTCAGCATGAACTAGCCCCTTCTAGGAAACTTCATCCACCAAGGAAACTTGCAGAAAGAAAGATGGACTAAGAGAAGGGAAACTTGAGGGAGGGGACTGAATGCAACCCTGGATTAGCTCCTAACTGTAGTGAAGGGTAGGACAAGCCACAGAGGTGTTTGTGTCATCCTGAGCCCCTGATCTCTGGCAAGTGGCAAGAGTGCAAGAGCAATGCCCACATCTTGCAGGTTTCAGGAGATGCTGGAAAGTAGAAGATGGGACCTTGACAGGTTGATGTTCCTCAGCATAACATGCAGCCCCCTCTCTCTCCAGAAAGAAGCTGCTCTCTGAACAAGCCCGGGCAGGATAGTGGGGCCATGTGGAAAAGATGCACCTCAAACCCTTGATGGGAGTTTAACTAATCAGGGCTTAGGGCTGAGCTAAAATGAACCTCTAGATCTGAGGGTGGTAGTTTAGAATAAACCCTTTGGGCATTAGAGAGGATAGATCCCAGCCGGCTCCTACTGTTCTTCTGTGGGATGCTTGCTGTCCCAAAAGCTGTGATACATGGTGACAGCCAGGCAGTTAATGGGTAAGGAGGGATTTGGAGAAGGCAGCCTCCTTCCCCACAGACAGACATATGCTGACAAGTTTGACAAGGCAGGGAGGTCACAGCAGTTTGTGTAATGGAGGGAATGGTCCAGCCCTTATTCATCTGGACACGTTTATTAAATTCAGCTGTCTTAGCTGTAGTTTGCAATAATCTCTCTCAGAAATAAAGGTTAGAACTAATTGAAAACTCATCCGAAGCTGCCTTTGGGCAGAGAGAGGGGTGGATGGAAAGAACAGTGGGTCCCTACAGTCCCTTTGTGACCTCCTGCAGGACCACCCACACCAGCACAAAGCCATGGTGGGTTTGTTCTGCCTTCCCCTGCAGCTGTAAAGGGAACAGGTTTGCACAATAACCTCTGTAAATCACATAATGCTGCAGGCAAGAAAGGAGGTAGAATTCCACATGAGATTAGTCAGTGCACAGAGGTGGGGGATAGAGCCGCAGGTCTGCCAGAGGTCTCTGATTCAGAGAGGCTGTAGATGTTTTACAAGGTCCAGCTAGGGGTGGGAGAGCAGGAGATGGAGTTTGGCCTGCTTATCATAATGGGACAGGAGCGATCCAAGATGGACCTTCCTTCTGGGGTCGGGCAGAGTCTGCACCCATCTAGCTGATGCCCTGGTGTGTGAGTCCTGATGCTCAGGAGAAGCTCCCACACAAGTAGCTGCGCTCTCTGAGTGACAATCCAGCACAGCTAACCTCTATCTTCCTTTTCAATGTGGACATCCCCTTCATAGTCACATAATCCCAGCCTGGTTTGGGTTGAAGGGACCTTAAAGCTCCTCCAGTTCCAACCCCCTGCCACGGGCAGGGACACCTTCCACTAGA